CGCGTCTTCACTTAATTCAGACTTCTTAATGCCTGGTCCAGTGAACCAATCATAACTATGATTGGCCTTCCCTTTTTTCGATTCAATATAAGAATCATCATCTGCTTCGTCTGAACTGGGATGATAGGATTTATCTGAATTGCTTTCATCGGGCGTTCCAGAGTCATTCAAGTTACTCTCACCAGGTATTCCAGATACAGTAAAAGGATTATTGGGAGAATCGTTTATTGCTTCCTAGAACCAAAATTTGTAAAATTAAAACAAATAAATTCTCAATGGGTTCAAATCCACAGTACTAACCTTTGGCACGCGTTTTGGAGGGCTTTCTTCCGCACACTCTAAAAATCGTTTTGTAAGACGAGAAGTGGTAGCATTTACGTACGTTCCCATTTGTTTATTGACATTAGTGGTCAAAGTTAAATCATATTCGTTCTATTCATAATAAAGAATCGTTATTTATCAATTTATCTTTTATATAAATTAATATATGTAGTTTCCAAACCTCCTCATTTTTTATTTTGCTATCAATTAGTTCTTCGTTGACTGTCATCCAGAATTTATTTACACTCTTGGAAGATCTTTCATTCTAGTTATCAGAAAACAAAAAAACATTAATATTCCTTTTCTAAACTATTTTCTTTTGGCAATAACATGTAAGAGCACCGAGGAACTCGTAATCATCAACCAGCCAACACGTAATCGGCCAGCTTACTCGGGATTGTCAATACGTCACGTTACTGTCTCAATGGCCAAACGTATTCTAGCTCTTAGTTCAAGGACGCCGAAGGAACGCGTAATCCACTATTAGCCAGCCAACACGTAATCAGCCAGCTTACTCGGGGGTTGTCAATACGTCACGTTATTGTCTCAGTGATTGGAACGTATTCTAGTCCTTGAACACATGAAATTGCCCAATCTCGAATTGCTAAAGGAGTATAAACTTAACTTCAAAAGTATCTAGCCATTTTTTTGCCTTATTTGTATAATCAACACAGCCAATCAATGTTTCTAATGCTTTTTTGTAATCCGAGTGCTCTTTAGTTTTATCATATGAAAAATCTTCTTGTTTCCGCCTGTATTGTAAAAAGTTTATTAACGACCAATTTGATCTCGTTTTCTTGAAAAAATCAGTCATCTCTTCCATAGTAGTTAGAAAACTTTGTGAAGCCTACAACCCTTCTATAGTATATATCACATGACAGCCAACATTCACGTTACACGAGAAATTTCAGCGACGGGCTGTCGCCAAAAAATCATCTATACTATAAAGATATCAATACAATAAAATAAATCCACGAAATACACATGCAAAGTAAACACAATTAATTATACGCGCGAGCCACCAGGGTCAGCTTTAATATTATTATCGTTATCGTTATTACCAAATTGCTAATTCGGATTTATTTTAATTATTCAAGGTTCTCTTAAAATTATCACATTCACATTGCCTATATATTCCATCCGCC